AAAAAAAGAATGAAATAAAAATAGAAAAATTGGCAAGTAAGATACATGATTGAAATTTATTATCTAACATTTTATATTAAATAAAAAGCAAATGGAAGACACTACAAGATTCTGAGTAATAAAAATAATAAATTGAATACTTTAAAAACTTGTGGTTTTCCTCAAGACATACTGGGAAACTTAAAGATACTGTTCAGTCATCCAGATCATCAATGTCTAGAATGTAGGAGTGAAACTGTTTAAAAAAAATTAAAGAACAAAAAGCAGTTCAAAAAGAAACAAAAACAATGAGAACACAAATCAATTCTCCCCCTGAAGTTCATAGTGGTCCTTGAAATTGCATTTTTAAGTCAAATATTCTAAAAAAAAAATTTTCTTCTTTATCTCACAGACTCTCCCGTTTTATGTGTTACAATTACTGCTCAAAAAAAGCGATAGTTGTCCTGGCAAAAATTTCTACTAGAAGAAGAACTGAAAGAATCCAATTATCCATTCATTTGACAGTCTGAATTTACATAGAAAACAAATGCAAATCCCCCTAGTGCCCAGTTCAGGGCCGATGAATATTAAACCACTCACCAATGATCACACAGTGATGCTCCTTTGAGGAGTTACAGCAAACTGCTTTCCCAGTGTTTATAGATTTGGAACATCACATTTATATTCACAGAGAATGGAGGTAAATAAACTAAAGTCAGCTTCATTTTAAAACATTTGTGTTATAAAAATATCCATACCGGCTGGGCCCAGTGGCTCATGTCTGTAATCCCAGCACTTTTGGAGGCCTAGGCAGGCGGGTCAGGAGGTCAGGAACTCGAGACCAGCCTGCCCAACGTGGCAAAACCCCGTCTCTACTAAAAATGCAAAAATGCCCGGCATGGTGCCACACACCTGTAATCCCAGCTACTCAGAAGGCTGAGGCAGGAGAATTGTTTGAACCTGGAAGGCGGAGGTTGCAATAAGCCAAGATCACGCCACTGCGCTCCAGCCTGGGCAACAAAGTGAGACTCTGTCTCAAAAAAAAAAAGAAAAGAAAAGAAAAGCCATACCTTTTTCTGCTGCATGTAAATTCTGTTTCTTGTCATCATGATTTCTGGTTCTCCATTTACTTAACACTTCCTGAAAGGACTGTGCAGAAGCTTCTTCATTGAATGACCCTTCACACAATAGACTCTCTCTTGGTTTTGTACATTCTGCTCTTTTTGTCGTTGTAATTTCTACCTAATCAAAAGCATATATAGGCATGCTTTATTAAATTTTCTGCATTCACCCACAAAAATTATTTTAATAAAAAATTTCTGCGTTTTAAAATACAGGTAGAACTAATTATTAGTCATTACAAATCAGACTTTTCAAACTTAGAATATTTTTAAGTTGTGCTTATTTATATGCTTTACTCTGTTCTTTAAAACTCTATTGGCAATTATAAACGGTCTCTTCAGAAATTATGAAGATGAGAGCCTACAGAACAGATGACTTATCTTTATGCTGTTCACCAGTGTTCTCTCTGTAAAGTTGCAATTGTCTTGTATACATTCTCCCTATGTCCCCAATCTCCTACTCCTCACAACCTTCTCAGATTAAAAAAAAAAAAAAAAAACAGGAACCCTAAGTTTCTACCAGGACCTATACTGCCCTACACAACCTTGCATTTCCTTGCCTTTTACTTTACCTCCTTCCATTCTCCTTTCATTCACCCTGCACCAGTTAGTCTCACACTCTGGCAGTTCTGAGAACCCATCAAGCACATTTCCTCTTCAGGGCCTTGTACTAGCTATACCCAATGCCTGGAATGAACCTTCTCCATATCTTTACATAGCCATTCCCTCATTTCGTTGACTCAGTGAAATGCTCAAATATCACCTACTTAGAAAGTTCTTCACTACCAATTCTAAAATTAACAGGCCCCCTTTCCACCATTTAATAATTCCTTAAGTGTTTTATTTTTCTTTCTATTACTTACTCCCATGTGACTTTGTTCTATGTTTATTTATTGCCTGTCTTTACCCATTAGTATATAATGAAGTTGGGGATTTTGTCTTTTTTCTTAGTGCCAAGAGCAGTGCCTGGCACAAAGTAGGTGCTCATTAAAAGTTAGTGGAATGAATGAAGAAGTTCATCGATGCATGTAATACAATGCATGCTCCTCAGATTAATGATGACTGTGGAGAGATGAATTCAGTACAAAATATAAATCCAGTCCAAGTACACAAGAAAATAATGGTAGTATTTGGAAGCTATACACTGAATCAAAGAGAACAGCCACATTAGGAACCCCAAGCAAAATAAAACCCACACCAGTGGCTGAATTATCAAATGTGGATTACCTACACTGATCAAATTGCTAAATATTCATGTGTATCTTTTAAGACATGAGAGTAAAAATCTCTATATTCAGCCCACAATTGAAAAATAAACAGGCAGTTTGTTAGAGTACAATTCAGGGTATTTTGCTAAAAATGTATATAAAAATTTCAAATTTGAGCAAAAAGTATCTGAGGACCTGTCAGACACTAGACACTATGCTAACTGTTGGCCACAGAAACACAGGTTAATAGGTCCACAATAGAAAACAGTGTAAGAAGCAGGTAAAACTCAGGGGAAATGATGTCTGAATCGGATTTTGAAAGGTAAAACAAGAATTCCATAAGCAAAAAGTGCCAAGGGCAGCATTCCAGAGAAAGGAAATGATATGTATGCTAGGACATGGGAGTCAAACAGCATTGGTGGCATGGAACTAAAAGCAGTTTGCATTGATATAGCAGAAAGTAAAGAATGAGAAAATATAAAGGGTAGAAAGGGAAGTGGGGAAAGAATATAAAGGGCTCTGCCTGCTGCACAGAGGAGCTTAAACCCATTGGACATGTAAAATCATTGTAAAGTCCCATATACCAATGTGGCAAAGAGAGGGAAATTAGGAAATAGTGTTTGGCTGCAAGGAAACCAATCAAAATGGTACAGGCATTTACCCACATTGACCAACATTCCAACATTACAAATGCATAATTTTTTATGTAGGAGTTTCAGGATTTTATCATACTGATATATCTATGAAAAAACACATTATTCAAAATTATACTTTATATTTTAGCATATACTAGCAAAAGATTGAAACAGCGTAAATGCTGATCAGTGAAAGATAGATTTTTAAAAGTCTTTTCACATCTAGTAAATGGAGTACTTACAGTCACTACATAGAATGAGAAGGTTCTATATTGTACTTACATGGATATAAAAACTACATTGTTAAGTGAAAAAAAAGCATGTTTGCAGAGCAAGCATATTAACATTTGTGTAAAAAATACATACATACAAAACCAGAAGGATTGCGTGACTCCTAGAAGGGAAGAGAATGAAATGTACTTTCCATTTATAATCCTTTTATAAAGAAAAAAATTGCAGTATCCGAAAGAGCAATAAGGATAGAATAAATGACCAAACATTCAAGAGTTTTTAGCTGGTAGCCTATATGGGACATGGCAACTATTATGGACTGAATTGCATCTCCCTCCGCAAATTCATATGTTGAAGCCCAAACCCTCAATGTGACTACCTTTTGAGATAGGGCCTATAAGGAGGTAATTGAGGTCAAATGAGATCATGAAGTTGAAGCCTTAATCTAATAGGACTGGGTATCCTGTTAAGAAGAGGGAGATAGTTGGACGTGGTGGTGTGCACTTGTGGTCCCAGCTACGCAGGAGGCTGAGGTGGGAGGAATATTTGAGCATGGGAGGAGGTTGCAGTGAGCTGAATTCACACCGCTGCACTCTAGCCTGGGCAACAGAGCAAGACCCTGTCTCAAATAAATAAATAAATAAATATGAAGAGGCATCATATATCTCTTCTCTCTCTCTCTCTCTCTCTCTCTCTTTCTCTCTCTGTCTCTCTCTCCTTTCTGTATGCATGTGCATACAGAAGAAAAGCCATATAAGAAGGCAGCCACCTACAAGCCAGGAAGTAAAACCTCACCAGAAATCAATATTGCCAATATTGCCAGCACCTTTAACTGGGACTTCTAGACTACAGAACTGTAGAAAATAAATTTCTCTTGTTTAAACCGCTCAGTTGGAGGTATTTTGTTATGGCAGCCTGAGAAGACTAATACAGTAACCAATTGGATGTGCAGAGAAGGAAGTGAAAACACAACAGAAAATAACTGCCTTCATTGGCTTGGAAAGCTAGGTAGGGCACCTTCAACAATAACATTGATAGGTTTTGGAAGAGGGGATAAATTTAGTTTGAAGATAGACTCTTAGGAGTATTTGTGAGAAGGTACTTATTGGTATCCAGTAAGCAATATGTCGGTGTGTCTATGTATATATGCTACACTAATGAACAAGCACTGAAAACTCAGTGACTTAATATAAAATTATTTCAATATGCAGCAATTTCAGCAGCTCTCCAGGGAAGCTTCCTTCCAAGCAATGAATCAGAGATGTCAGACATTTGCATCTTGGAGTTATGCCACTGGAATATCAGCTTCCACATAGCTGTGGCAGGGTAGAAAAAGCTGGAGGGTTGTACATTAGCTCTTAAACGTTTCAGCTCAAAACTGTCATATATCACGTCCACTCAGAGTCCAATATGACCTTGCCCAATTCTAAAAGACATTTGAAGATGCACATAGAAATTCAATGCTGTACGTTCGTTACCCTCTAAGTACATGATATCCCTGTACGATGATGTGTTTTAATATCCCCACTTTCCAAAACAGAAAACAGAAGATCAAAAGAGGTAAGGAACTTGCCCACTGTTACAATGCTATAAGAAAAACAGCATCATTATTTTAAACCCAGGTTTCAGCTCATAAGATGTAAGCTCTTTCGTGAACTGTACCTCTTTCCAAGGATGTGCCATTGGCTTTGATCCATTAAGAAGCCCATAAGAGAGGCATCAGGTGTTGGTACCATTTGGTTCTTCTAGCCATTAAATTAAAAATCAGACTCCTGAGCCCTAACCCAGAGGTAAATATCTAAAAAAAAAATCCAAATTTGGTGACAGACCCAGGAATGCAAGTTTTTAACAATCTCCAATTCTTACGATGCTTATTAAAGTTTGAGAAGCATTGTTCTTTGGCACAGAGGAACACTAAGTCTATGAAGGGGTTATCTCTTCACTGTGTACTCTGTCATCTACAACAGTGACTCCCAACAAGAACACTCACCAGGATCACTGAGGAGTTGTTAAACACACACATGCGCGCACACACACACACACACACGTCTGAACCCCACCCACGGAGATGCTGAACTTAATCATATGTATTTCTTTACTGTTTCTCCAGTTGATTTTAATATATACTCCTGGATAAAATAATTGAATTAATGGTTTTTAAGTGAAGACAATGAGGCAGACAATGTATACAGCATACATAGTCACCTATGAAGACAAGAAAAACATCTAGTGTAAAGATTAATAAATAACACAGAGGAGGCTACACTATCACTTTCCAGTAAGGCTAGTTACTTAACCTCTCTCTCATCTGTTAAATTGGGGTAATAGCACAAACCTTACATGGTTATTGTGATTATTGCTTAAGGCAAGTAAAGCATTAAGTACAATGCCTAGCATAAGGTGTTCAATGAAAGTTAGCTACTGATTTATTTTTGATAGGATAAATTAGATGAAAAGGCAGGCAGGCATGAAGAAGAAACTTTTAAAGCCACAGTCTCTGGATAATGGTTAAACGCAGGAAATTTGGAGTCAGAAGGTCTGGGCTGAAATCTAAGTTCCATTATCAATCCTACCTTTGGCAATTTATAAAAACTATTCCTTGCCACTATTCTCTCATTTGAAAAAGTGGAATAATTAAGAAAAAACAAAAGGAGATAATGTGTAAAATATTTACGGCAGTGTCTGGTCTTCAATACGTTATTGTTATAATTAGGAGGCAGTGATTCTTCACAAAACATCCTTGACAGGTCTATTAGAAAGTGAAATCCACACAAATACGCTGACACTCCTGCAAAATTCAAGCACACTTCCTCTGTTGAAAATAGGTCCTACTAGCATAGAACACATTTTCTTTTACGTCTATGAGCATGGGTTTGGAACACAACAGATTTAACTTCAACCCAGACTTGGTCAACACATAACAAGCAGCATGACTTCAGCTAAGTTACAGTTTTTGAACTGCAGGGGAAAAGTGACTGGCATCTAAAAGAATGAGGATTATAACACAGATCAAAATTTGAAGTTCATTTCTTGCTAAAGAATCAATATGCCTATTATAAATATATAGGCATGAGTTGATAAAAGTTTATCTAGCACATTGTCAGATCAGTAGTCAATCTAAATAACTGCCAGAATTTGGTATAAATCTAGTTTTAAATAACTGTGAAATTGCCTGTCACTTAAAACTCTTGGCAAGGTTTTATATTTTTAGCTTCGCTGAATGAAGTCCTGACTAATATAAAATTGTAGAGTGCATTGTGGTTTTTTAAAAAACGTTTTCCGCAAATACTCATCCAATTCCTGACATAGATGAAAATGTCCAGAAAGACATATGGTCAAAATATCATTCATCAAAAAGACTAGTATTCAGTGGAATCAAAACAATCTTCTTGAAAAGATTTTTATGGTCAAGATGTATTTGGTTAATAAAGAACAAATCCATATGAAATAATAATGTGATGAAATTATCAGCAAAATTCTGTAGCTTAAGTACATGAATGGCACTTGGCATAATTACGTATATCAGAAAATGTCTACTATATTTTCCTCAGTTTACCTCAGAGCTGCTCCTCTGGATAAATAAAGATTTGGGTTTATGCTGAATTTTACTGGTTTCCTTTGTAGAATTATTCTCCTCTTTGGGTTCATCTGGATTAACATCCTTTATAAACTGATGGGCAACATCCAATACACTGAATACTATTTGAGATTTTGCCTATTAAAAAAGTAACAAAATATAATTAAAGAGCCTCATACGTTAAACTAAATAATTTATATACATTAACTCATATTTATGTTATTCTATGACTCCCAGAATTAAATAAATTCAATTTAATCTTTAAAAAGACAAATTGGCATTTGTATCAACCAGTATAACAGTGACAGCTGCCATCTACTGAGGGAACTAGTTTGGGCTCATACAATTCAAACCATCTTAAAAACAATATATCACTTAACCATCAAGGCAATTCTAAAACATAACTATTTTTATCTGTTTTAGGAATTAAGAAAACTGTTTTAGGAATTAAGCTCAGGCCGGGCGTGGTAGCTCGCTCCAGTAACCCCAGCACTTTGGGAGGTTGAGGCAGGTGGATCATTTGGAGGTCAGGAGTTCCAGGACAGCCTGAACAACATGGTGAAACCACATCTCTACTAAAAACATAGTAATTAGCCAGGCATGGTGGTGTGTGCCTGTACTCTCTGCTACTCGGGAGGCTGAGACAGGAGAATCGCTTGAACCCGGGAGGCAGAG